GTTTCATATAACATTTAATGAAATTTTAATGAAACTGTTTCATGTATTTTTCTCTAAAATTAAAATAATGAAGATGATAATATCCATGATTAACACCCTCCACAATAAAATGGTTAATCAACCTCTCATAATTACAAAAAAATGAACAAAATGAAAAATTATGATTGGTTGAATGAAGTTTTCACGGTTTTTACAAATTGAATGATTTTTATTTGAAAGATGATAAAATTCATTTATCATGATCAATGATAAAAGTTCATTTATTATGATCATGGCTTTAGATTAATAAACATAATAAAATCAAATATTTCTCAAAGTAGATGGACGGTTAAGATTGATTTGTAAAGTTTGTTAAAAAATTGCATGATTTATAAATGAAACTTAATGATTGTAAAAGAAAACAAAACATATATAGGGTTTTAAAAATAAAAAACAAAACCAAATCGTATATTTCATGTTTTTACGCATCAAAATTGAACCATAATTTTTTTTTTTACAAATACACTAAATTAAGGAAAACCAATTCAATCTTGTGTTAAAGATATCCACAACATTATTGCAAAGGTTGATTCTTATTTTAATTGTTAACTCGTCGTGATGTAGTATATTTTAATGATTATTTATCATGTATTAAATGTGACAAAACTCTTACCTATATTTGACATAAATTAATACCAAAAAGCAAAAATCCTTATAAAAACCAATATTTTATTTTCTAAATAAATAAGAAGCTTGTGGAGCACTTGGTAGTATAAATAGAGGTGCATGGTTCCTTCCTTAAATCACACAAACCAAGAGTGAAAAAAAGGGAAGAAAACATGTTGAATTCTCAGATCAATCAGTCTCATTCTATTCAAAACCTACTTCCGCTTCAAAAACCCTTCATTGGCGGTGATGCCACCAATCATTCCTCCTCTGCCGCTTACTCTCCGGTCATTCTCACAACCACCAAGAAATCCACCACCACTCGCACTCGTTCCACTTCTGCTGGCAGCATTAAAGCCATAAGCTTGAGCGGCATCTTTACCAAGACTACCACCGTCAAGGGTGTCGTCACCATCCAACCAACCATAAGCTCCGCCCTCTCTGGTAATGGTGTTGATCGTGTTCTTGATGGCGTCGCTGACCTTCTGGGACGCTCCTTGTTGATCGAGCTCATTTCTATTGACCTTGATTGTACGTATACTATCTTTTTTTACTTTAATATTAATTCAAAATCATATAATTAAATTTATAAAAAATTATATAATCTCACATTTACTTACATAAATCAACTACGGTGCATGTAAAATCACCCTTCACATCATTGATGGTCATCCAGGCACCCGTAAGTTGGTACAAAAATCTACGGTTACCAAAAAAAATCACCCCCTAAATACTTGATTTGAAGTAACGGTCTTTAAAAACTTGAATTTACATTATTCTGTTAATTTTATTAAAAATATCCAATTATATAAATCTAGTTTATATATTTTCAGATCATCGTATGTTTAGAAGAAGTCACTGTCAAATTTTATTATACACATGCGTATCATGGATGAAACGTTTATTATATTATAATTAATGACTTCATTAATTATATATGATGGACGCTAATCCATAATTATATGTTTTTAAAAGACACAAAATATTATAACAAAAATAATATATGAAAAAGCCATTGTCGTTTGGTCAAAACTATTGTATTATATTTCATCCGTTCCAAAATAAATGTCTGTATTACTAATTTAATTAGTTTGTTGTAGAATAAATGTCAATTTTTAAAAGTAAATATATACTTTTACATTCTACCCTTAATGAGATGGACAAAATTTCTATCAATAATTAATGGTAAAAATATTATTTTGTTAATTAGAAAATGTAATGATCATACATGTGCTTTTTTCATTGTGCACATTTATTTTTGAACAAAAGAAATGATTATTAATATACTTGCAAGATAGTTTTTTATTCATTGTTAACTGGTTCACGTCCAAAAAGTTGAGTTCTTCTTTAGGAGTTGTAACTATAACTACAACAGAGATTCTTATAAGAACCATTTGAAAAAAATATCTTATCTTAAATATCTCTAATGCATTTAATTCTTGTTTAAGTAATATTATGTTGAAATTGCTAACATTCGGCTCGATTTGATATAGCAAAAGGAAACTTGAAGACGGTAAAGGATTATGCAGCATACGGTGGATTAGATTTTGCGAAAAACGTATACAAATACAACTGCAACTTTGACGTCCCTGATGATTTCGGTGAGATAGGAGCCGTGTTGGTAGAGAATGAATACAGCAAGAAGATGTTCTTCAAGGATATCGTACTTAACAACGATGTCACATTCTCATGTGACTCATGGGTTCATTCCAAACAAGATAACAGTGAAAAGAGGATCTTCTTCACAAACAAGGTCCACTCTATTTTTAAATTTTTTAAACATGTGTCAATATTCTTGATCTATTAATAAATCTTTAATATGATTTTCCTTCATAAACATTTTGTTTTAGATAAACATATTTTATTGTATAAAAATTATTGTTAATTTTGTGTAATGATTGTTAATATTTGCAATCTGTATAAAATGATTTTCTATCATTTTTAAAGGGTCTTATCGGATAAAACAAAAGAAAAAAGATTCACATGTTGTGAATCAATAAAAAAAAATGGCTATTTTTGAGGGGCTGAAATGTAATTTTCAAAAAATTTAAAAGTAGAAGGATTGAACCTTAACATACAGGGACTATGATGGGTAAAAGGAACTTAAAAGTTTCTTTCTCTGACTTTGATTTTGAAAGGATTTTGTAACCCTACGCCCACCGTCCTCCACCTCGTCGCGCTACCCGATGGTGGCGATAACGACGGCAGGTGGTGGCAGGTACCAATAGCCTTTCGACATTGAATTTTGATTAGTGAAGCTGTTCTGTATAGTCTTACCTTCCATCAGAGACTCCAGCGGCTCTGAAGTCCTTAAGAGAGCAAGATTTGGCTTCCCTTCGAGGTAACGGCGAAGGAGAACGTAAATCGTATGAGAGGATTTACGATTATGATGTATACAATGATCTTGGAGCTCCTGACCTAAACATAAGTTTAGCAAGACCGGTGCTCGGTGGTGAGGCACTTCCTTACCCTAGGCGGTGCCGTACTGGTCGGAAAATGTCATCTAAAGGTACAACACAAAAACCGCCCCTTACTAATGATTGCAGTCCAATTAAAAAAACACAAAATGAACAAGTTCAAAAGTAAGATGTATATGTTCTTCAAACTGTTGAAAGATCAGTTGAATGATTTGTTTGAGGAAAAAACTTAAAATAATTTGTATCGGTGATCTGATATAAACAAGTATCAAAATTAGATTATAAGGTTTTGTTGATCAAACGAGGAAATGACTAAAAAATAAACAAAATATGTTGAATTGCAGATCCATTGACTGAGACCAGAACGTTGCTCCCGTTTTACGTACCTGCCGATGAAGATTTCTCAGAGATAAAAACGGTGACCTTTGGGGCGAGGACTTTGTACTCGGTGCTTCATGCTGTCCTACCCTTTTTAGACTCAGCTTTGACAGACAAAGAAAAGGGATTTCCTTTGTTCACTGCCATAGATTTACTTTTCAATGAAGGTGTCAATGTACCTCCCCCTGACAGTGGACTTTTAAGTGTTTTACCAAGACTTATCAAAGGTGCTGCTGATACTACAAACACTGTTGTCAAGTTTGAGACCCCTGAAACCATTGACAGTAAGCATAAATCCTTTTACACCACCTTTGTGTTCTTGTTTGCTTTGTTAGTTGAAGTTTTTACTTACTGGTTGCTCTAATTGTAGGGGACACATTCTCCTGGTTTCGTGATGAGGAATTTTGTCGACAAATGCTTGCTGGCCTCAATCCAATTAGCATACAGTTGGTTACAGTAAGTTTCTGTTAGAAATTGTATGATCATTTAACTTTTGAGACAGGTAAAGTGTAACATCCCGTCCCACATCGGTTGGTGAGGTGAACAAAGCACTCCTTATAAGGGTGTGGATACCTCATCCTAGCATGACCGGTTTCCCTTGTGGTATAGCGGGGAAAACAAAACCGTGAGGCATTGTGGTATAGCGTGCCAAAGCGGACAATATCATTCGCTTCCGTGCTGCG